ATTTGAATATTTGCACTGTTGTGTCCGCAGCTATGGTTCCATAATGTTATGTCAGCTTCATTTATAAATTCTGTATATGTATTTCCAGTGATAAGMCCATATTTATATTAATTGTACTTAAATTTCATTCATACATTGCCATTTTAAAAAGTGTTCCCACCGTTATTGTTAAACTTAAATACATAGTGCACTTTCTTCCATAAASAAAGTTTATGTTGATAGTTCCACAGGTAATTCATTGATACATCATATAAATATTGATAATGCAATCTCCGAGGATCTCCGAGTTAAAAATAACAGAGTACTATGTAACAACGCAGTTTATAGGAAAGTGAGTGACAGATCGTRCCCCTACAATAACTCTTCAATTGCTAACGCAWTCAGCTCCGAGTTAAAAAGGAATTCACTAGTTAATAAAGAACYCTTGGAGTCTGATTTCTGATTGGTAATACGGATACTTCGGGACGATTTCGAAAGCTCGTATCTTACACATTCCACAATGTCATTATCGAAGATTTATTAATACAGTTTTCATATTTGACAATATATCATCCATCCATAAATCATTTAGAGTTCACTTTCGTATCAACACGCGACACGAAAAGCCCTTTCTGGGGAAACAGTCAACGAGCGCGTCCTTTACGAGACAAAGCGAATCTTACCCAGGTTTATCTTTGATGTAAAAAGCGGTGTAATCCTTGCCGCTTAGCCATATTTCTATTTCCTCCTCAGAAGTTGGCGTAGTGAACGCAAAGGGTGCGTGTTCTTTGGTACTGTTGTCCACTTGTACCCACAATGCAAGCGTGAAAGCTCTCAAGGAAACAAAGGGTTCTTTCATAATGACGTAATCGTTGCTGGATTTTCTTGGAAAATGGAAAACTTCCTTGATATTTGCTATAGATACAAACAAACGATCATGAGCATGTAAAAGCTGTAGTAGTAGTTTTTTTCATAATCTTTTAGTAGTAGTAGTAGTAGTAGTAGTAGTAGTAGTAGTAGTAGTAGTAGTAGTAGTAGTAGTAGTAGTAGTAGTAGTAGTAGTAGTAGTAGTAGTAGTAGTAGTAGCAAGTAGTAGTAGCAGTAGTAGTAGTAGTAG